TGGCTGAGGTGTGTGATTTAGAGAAAGAGATACAAATGGAAAAAATCCAGAGAAGCATGAGGATAATCAGTACAAGCATTAAACAGAAAAACATATCATTTACTGAGGCACAGTCTAAAGGGATGCTGGTGGATTTCTGAAGATGGCATTTAGAGTTTTGTCTTGGTTTCCAACTTGCTAGAAATTCTACCCTGTCACAGACTCAATGGAACCATTACATGTGAGTCACAGTTCCTCTTGGCTCATTCCATGTGCTGCATGTTTAAGGTGATTTTGTATTGGAGATCATTATTTAATCACTTCTCTTCCTACCTTCAACCACAAGGGGAGTATCTGTTGTTTCCCATACTCAGTAGCACAGGAAGAAAAGCTTTTCAAGGAACTTGCATTCGGGATTGTTGAACACTGCTAAAGGAGTGTTCTAGAGGGCTGGACTACAAGAAAGGTGCCTTTTTTTTTCGCTGACCCAACTGGCAGAAAGCAGTATGAAGCAAAGATAGTGCCATGGAATGTGGTGCTAAAGTTTAGCACCATGCAACCTCCATTTGAGTCCCTTTTTGTCCATTGACCATGAGCTGGAGGACTTCAGGGCAGCTTCCAAATGTTATAAATCATAGAAGGGAAAAGGGAACTGACAGACATTTGCTGAATACCTCCCAGGAGCCAGGCACTATGGTGGGAAGGTGGTTTATTGCCATCTCATTTGCCATGACAATATATGTGAAAGCAGAAGGTTCTTCCAATGTAAGGTATTATTTATTGGAAATATGAGGAGAAAGGGGAGAACAGCTTGAGGGGGTAGATTAAAGCAAGATTTTTGAAAGCCTAATCTTAAATGATCCTGCAGTGATTCTATCATAATTTCCTCAGCATTAACATTAACTATTCCTTTTGTCAGCTTCAGAGGTAGAATTTTAAAATGCAGTTTGTACCTACAAAGTAACTGCCTCTTCCTTTATGTTTGCAAAACACTGGGTATGTTTTTTTTTTTTAAATAATTTTTTATTGTTATGTTAATCACCATACATTACATCATTAGTTTTTGATGTAGTGTTCCATGATTCATTGTTTGTGCATAACACCCAGTGCTCCACGCAGAATGTGCCCTCTTTAATACCCATCACCAGGCTAACCCATCCCCCACCCCCCCTCCCCTCTAGAACCCTCAGTTTTTCAGAGTCCATCTTCTCTAATGGTTCGTCTCCCCTTCCGACTTACTCCCCTTCATTCTTCCCCTCCTGCTATCTTCTTCTTCTTTTTTTTTCTTAACATATATTGCATTATTTGTTTCAGAAGTACAGATCTGTGATTCATCAGTCTTGTACAATTCACAGCGCTCACCATAGCACATACCATCTCCAATGTCTATCACGCAGCCACCCAATCCCTCTTACCCCCCACCACTCCAGCAACCCTCAGTTTGTTTCCTGAGATTAAGAATTCCTCATATCAGTGAGGTCATATGATACATGTCTTTCTCTGACTGACTTATTTCACTCAGCATAACACCCTCCAGTTCCATCCACGTTGTTGCAAATGGCAAGATCTCATTCCTTTTGATGGCTGCATAATACTCCATTGTGTATATATACCACATCTTCTTTATCCATTCATCTGTCGGTGGACATCTTGGCTCTTTCCACGGTTTGGCTATTGTGGACATTGCTGCTATAAACATTGGGGTGCACGTACCCCTTCGGATCCCTACATTTGTATCTTTGAAACACTGGGTATGTTTAATTCAGCCTTCAGACTTACTAGGTAATTAACTAGAGTTAATTACCATTATTGCGATTTAAGAAAAACAGGAAAGCAAGGAAGACGTTAAGTGACTTTCTCAAGGACACCCAGCCATTTGTATCTGGAAAAAGTATCTTGAACTTCATGATCTTACTTCAAGCTAAGAGACACTTCTAACGTTTAAAACCCCCCAAGAACTCTTCCTCCTAAAGAAGCGGTAACATGTAAGTTAAAAGGGTTAGCTCCTTCCCTATCTTACATATGAATACACAAGATTGGGCACTTAACAGTATTTTGAATTAGGGGAGAAAAAAAATGCGTTTGGCACAAGTCAGACTCTCTTCTTTCTTTTCTTCCACAGCTTGTAATTTAGACTCAGGCACATATTTTTTCTTTCATTACCACCTTGAAGAGGTTGCTACTGTTTGAAACTAGAGTCATTCCTACCAATTTTCCAAGATTCTTTGATATCTTTCTGTCTGAATATAGATCTATGCATCATCCAGACTTTTGAGAATGGTCCCTGATGCATATTTTGGGGAAATATCCCTGCCATTATCTAGAATTGACTTGATATTTAGGGCTCAATTATGAGGCTTATGGCATGGTTTCCACTATAAAGAACTGCATGAAGTTGTATCCAATTAAAAACAATGCAAAATTGGGATGAAGACAATTAAGAAAAACAACACAGAAAAAGAGAAAAAGGTATTACTCATAGTCTTAGAACCTCCCCAATGTGGGGGGCTACTTCCCAGATCAGAAGACCAAGACACGGAGGCCATGCAAAGCATTTTCCAGTCCCTACCCACCACCGTGGAGTAGTCTTCGGGCATTCTCTGCACAATTCTGAGCCTTTGTCAAATGTGGGATTTCTTTCATTAACTGAAGATTCCTGCTTCCTCAGTCCTGTTTCATTAACTGAAGAGTCCTGCTTCCTCAGTAGGCTTACTGAACATGGATGAGCTGCTCATTACATAAGGCCTCTGATGCCAATCACTGATTTATTTTCTTATTTCACAAACATTATTGAACACCAACTACATGGTTGGTGCAGGACACACAAAGATAATAGAAAATATAGTTCCTGCTTTCAGGTTATGCACCATGATTTGTGGATGACAGACCCACAAGGCTAATTAATAATGCAATGTAACTGAGACTGTACTGGGGTGGTATTTGACGCTCGACTTAAGTGATCTGGAACAGAGGATGATTAATCCTGCCTGGTGGGTGAGAGAGTGGGGGGATGGGAATGTCATGGAAAACTCCCCATCTCACAGGTTTACTAGTAGAACAAACTAGATGTGGACCTTGGTGCATCAGGTCTCTAATTGTGTACTAAAAAATGTTCTGTCACTTCAAAGACTCTTTGTCTCAATGGGTTTTTGCATTACATCTCAATGTCATGTCACTTTGTGGAAGCTAGATTTGATCTGCACTGCTCAGTAGTTAAATGAAGGTATTATTTGTTACAAAATGCTTACTTAATACCTTGTGGCCACTTGGCACTAGAGAGAAATGCCATTTCAGTTGTGTCAGACACCCTAGTGCTCACTAAACTCATCTATTTGGAGTTCTGGTACATTCCTTGTACAGGTGCCTCACTAGGTCAATGAAAAGTTTCACATGTAACTCCCAGAGCCAACAGTATGACTACAAAAGTCATTGTTTCTGTTTTGCTATTCTAGCCTCCATGGTTCCCCCATCCTTCCTGTCCTTCAAGTCCTAGTTCAAATGCCACATCATCCACAAAACTGATACATCTCTTCCTCCTCCTCCTCCTCCTTCCACCTCCTCCCACTCCTCCTCCTCTTCCTCCTCTGCCTTCTTCTTCTTCTTCTTCTTCTGCTTCTTCTTCTTCCTCTTCTTCTTCTTCTTCTTCTTCTCCTTCTTCTTCTTGTATTTTAGTATAAATAGTTAAGTAAACTTTTACCTCATTGATAGATGCTGAACTCTTTAAAGGTATGATGTAAGTCATCTTTAATGTTGTACCCCCTATATTACTTAACAAAGTGCTGTTCATTGAATGAAGAGAAGGCTATGTCAATGGACAGATGGATAAATAAATGAACACATAGATACACAAAGGACAGGAAACAGTGGCCTGTAGCTAATGAAGGAGACTGTCTGTTGCTTAGTGTCTGTGGTGGTGATGGATACCTATTCTTGTTGATTACATGTTTCCCAGCCAGGTAAATATCGATGATCAGGAGGAGAAAAATATTTTGGATTCAACCATACTTGACACATAAACAGACTCACTCTTAAGAGTTTGATAAGAGACAAAAAAGGCTTACCTAGAGATTTAAGAGCACAGATGTGTTATTTTGTTAGTATTCTTTTCAACACTTGAGGAAATTCCAAAGTTTCAACCACATGACTGTAATCCAGTTCAGTAAATTAGATTGTCTCCTTGGAACAGCGGATCTTGTCTTTGGGTTTTGCTCACTCTCTCACCTTCTCTTGTTTGAATTGGTTTCCACCAACTGGAAAATGACCCGTTAAGTCCCAAAGTAATGGAGTTTAAAAAAAAGCTCAGAGCTTCTTCAATAACAAAGATTAAGGCTTTTATTTTTCCACATAGAATACTTGAATTTCACCCAGAATTTCAAAATACATTCAACTTTGGAAGAGAAAGGAGTAAAACCAAAAAATACACCTACTTTCTAGTGATTATTTTTTTAGTAGGAAATTATTTTCATTGAAAATATCCTGTACCTTTTTTAGTGTGCAACATTTTAATATTTTAATTATCTATTTCCCACTAAGTTGATTTTAAAACTTCCTTGCTGGGTTTTAGAATATGAAATGTTTCAGACTGAGTGATTTTCTCATTTTTATTTCACAAATTGAACTGAAATAGATGGAGAAGTTTTACAAAAAGATATAGCCTAATTAGATCTTAAACAATTTTTTTAAAATATCTTCTAATATAAACAACCTAAATGTGTTTTTTTATAACAGTTTCAAAATAATGTCTACTTTGTGTTACATGATCAATGACCACAGTAATTATAGATTTAATGTTTTTACATTTTGAAACCAAATTAATTTTACTTGGTATTTGATTCCTTATCCTCTGGTTATAGTGACTTGATAATACTTTTTATTTTAGAGTGCTCCGAAATAATCCCAATAGCTAGTTGAAAAGAATTAATGGGTTTAAAACGTACTTAGTAAGAATTAAAATAATTTTTATGTTTTGGTTTCCTGATAGATTTATTTGGACTTTTCTTTTCTCTTTGTTTTTCTTATAGTGCGGGAGTTGGCCGGACTGGTTGTTTCATCGTAATAGATGCCATGTTAGAAAGAATAAAGCATGAAAAAACTGTAGATATTTATGGCCATGTAACTTTAATGAGAGCCCAGAGGAATTACATGGTTCAAACAGAAGACCAATACATCTTTATCCATGATGCACTGTTAGAAGCAGTGACTTGTGGAAATACCGAAGTGCCAGCTAGAAACTTGTATGCCTATATTCAGAAGCTGACACAAATAGAAACAGGAGAGAATGTCACAGGAATGGAGCTCGAATTTAAGGTATGATATTGGATGTGATGTGGTAATTCAGGAGCAAGTCATTCTGGGATTGTCTTTGAGTAGTGCCTTCACTTTCTTAACCTTTCAAATTCTGAAGTTACAAGATTCACTTGACCTTCTCAGGTGTCGGACTATAAAACACTTTCTTCCTCTTTCCCTTTTCTGTTTTTTGCTTCCTAACAATACTTCGAGCTCTTTTGTACCCTAATTTAAATTGAGAGATCATACTCTCAAAACATATTTAAAAATTCAGTACACTATATGGAATCATTAGGTAGAAGTGAAAAGCAGTGCAATTTGAAGAGTCCTTTGCTTTGAAGTAAACATAAGCTTTATATCTAAAGAGGAAATCTTGAGTACATTGCATCTAACTGTAGGCTAAAATTATCTTTGTCAGATTTTTTTTCTTTTCTTCTATTCAACAGCGTCTAGCCAGCTCTAAAGCTCACACCTCAAGATTCATCAGTGCCAATCTTCCATGTAATAAATTCAAAAATCGCCTTGTTAATATTATGCCATATGAATCCACAAGGGTATGCCTGCAGCCTATCCGAGGAGTAGAAGGATCTGATTACATCAATGCCAGTTTTATTGATGGATACAGGTATATACTCTTACTCCCCTGACAGTCCAAAGCCTTGATATTTACATGTGCCCTAGTTTCACAGCCAGAATGAATTGCATCTCAATTCAAAGCATTGTCTTTCTGCATAGGTCAGCATTCAGTCCTTTGGTATTTGTTTTTGTTTTTTTTTAAAAATTTTATTTATTTATTTGAGACAGAGAGAGAGCACATGAGAGGGGGGAGGGTCAGAGGGAGAAGCAGACTCCCTGCCGAGCAGGGAGCCCGATGTGGGACTCGATCCAGGGACTCCAGGATCATGACCTGAGCCGAAGGCAGGTCAGTTAACCAACCGAGCCACCCAGGCGCCCAGTATTTGTTTTTTATTATTTTTGGTAGGAGTAAGAAGAAGCAGTCATGGAATCTTTAATCTGGCCTTCTGCACTCTTCCTCAGAAGACATTCGGTTGTGGAAGGAGTTAATGAGGAAGCTGTTTTATACCATATTTCATAAATTTAATAGTTTGTGTAAGAGTCCTATCTACAAAATGAAGACACCACTGTTTAAGTGATTTGTATGATACATGAAACTGAGTTATTAGTGTTGCACTAAAATTTAAATAATAATGATAAAGACATACATCATAATATTAACAAAACAATTTCTTTTGCAAAGACCCCAAATGTATTAAATATTCTCATTTGATTACACAGTCTTAATGGAGATTTACTGCAATTGCCCTGATGATATGTTTTTAGTTTTCATTAGTGGGTTTGATGTTTACGTATCAAATGTGAACCTTTGCATGTTCTCTGATTACTTTAACATGCTACTTTTATTCTCTGTAATTCAGACAACAGAAAGCCTACATCGCTACCCAGGGACCCTTGGCAGAGACCACTGAAGACTTCTGGCGAATGCTCTGGGAACACAATTCCACCATTGTCGTGATGCTCACCAAGCTGCGTGAGATGGGCAGAGTGAGTGTCTTTTCATAAGACATTCACTCCATGAAGAAATGACGATTTCATTTTAATAACTCAAGGGCCAGCGTCATTTCTTGGAGATGTGGAGTTCTCCAGACACATTATGGGCCATTCATTACTCTTGTGTTGGTTTTTAGCTTGCAAAGCCACATCAAGTTCTTTAATTTGTGTGCTTTGAAAAAAGATCTAGTATTTTGTTTCCAGTGCAGCATGATCATAGGAGCAAAGAAGTAGATGTCCCTGTTTGACTTAGGTCCCGACTCTTGGCATAGTCTTTTTTCCTTTCATGCTGGACAAGCTGGAGTTTCATGAGCAAATGTGCCATCATTTCTCTGTGTTAAGAAACTTGACTTTCTTTTATCTGTGAGGCAAATTCTTACCTGACCTTCCTCCACCCCATATTGAATAGGGTGTTAGAAAGGTACATAGTTTTTCCAAGGATATATATAATCTGGTCATCTTAGATCTACTTTTTGAAAATGATTATTCTGAAAAATACATAAAATAGTATTAGAGATACCTAAGGACCTACCACTTAGATTCGATAGATGTAAGCATTTTGCTATGTTTGCTGAAGATATTTTCTTTCTCTCTTCCTTGTATAAATGTAGAGATGGAGAGCAAAAAATGCCAAACTAGGAAAGTAACTTGACTATCCTGACTATTCATAGTTGACTCTCTGCAAGATTTAGCCAAATCATTAAAACTGCTTGGGCTCCAGTTTCCTCAGCTGACAAGGGAGACTGGACCAGATCAATAAAGAATTTTCTTTCTGCATTCACACTTGATGGTTCTATCCATTCCATAACACAGTGATGCAAGTCTATTCTGGGGGTTCAGTGCATGGTTGACAGGGCCAGCATTACATCCAAGGACCGATGTTATTATTTGGAGAACTTGTAGGTATGAAGACACCCTTTCAAAATATTCAATTCAATTATTGTATATTAATAAGTTACTGTATGCCAGTAGTGTGCTTGATATCATGAGCAAATAGTAAACCATTTGATTTTCCTATTCTCAAGGAACTTATGGTTTCCAAAAGAAAACGGATCACATGCAATTGGAATGGCCTTGAATTTTGAACTTTTATTAATGAGAGAAAGAAATTAAATATATAGATTGATAGATGCTAGATAAAATTTAATTTGTACTTTGTATAGTTTGCCATTAATCTTCTCTTGTTTTAGGAGAAATGTCACCAATACTGGCCAGCAGAACGATCTGCAAGATACCAGTACTTTGTTGTAGATCCAATGGCTGAGTACAACATGCCACAATATATCCTAAGAGAATTCAAGGTCACAGATGCTAGGGTAAGTTGACCAATCTTATGTTCTTAAACATTAGCTGAAAAGCAGTCTAAAATGCATGTCTGGGAGAAACATTTGCCGAGTGACCATATTCCCAAAGTGAAGAGAAATAACTGATCTTGGAGGACTGTTTTGTTTTTTAAAATAAGAGTAACTTTTCCTCTGTCTGGCAAGTGTTCTCACAAACTCAGGGTTGGCTTCCATTCAAACATAACATCTGGCAGCCCAACTTTGGGGATATACTTGGTAAGTGTGTGTCCTGGGAAGCATTTACTGATTGGTTGGCTGTGCTTACATTCACTTTCTCAGCTCATTCTCTTTAGAGCTTTTTGACTTCTTCATTACTTGAGGCTGTAAATATGTTGTTGTTTTGCAAAGCCCTTTAGGTCATGTGGGCTTGGAGGTTAATTTGGTATGATTTCAAAACTGCAGAGCAAATGGCATTCTTTAGAAGACTCTGACAAGCTTTGCACATTATAATTTGATTCCTGGCATGGTTTATTCCTCAGTGTGCTAATGTGTCTGTCCATGAGAGCTGTGCACCCATGACCCTTGTTGGCTAATTTTCATTCCGCATTTCTTATCTAGATTGCTGAGTCCAAGGTTCAGCCCTGATGTAAGATGTTCTATGCATAAACTTTAATATCCTTGCCTTTGGCCACTTTCAAACCATGATTACAAACACATCTTAGGAGGGAATAGGGTCAGTCCAAAGCCCTGCTTTGTTTTTGGAACTGTTGCAGTAGGTGGGTTGAATAAAACTCCAGGATAGAGCTATTTACTTGATCCATTGTTTTTTCTGGGAAGGAGCTTTTCCAACCAATACTCATGTTTAGAGATTGTCTGCTAATCCCCAAAGCTGTGCCCTGGCTGTTGACCTAAAGTGAAGGAGAAATTGGTTAGCAGGCTGGTTGGCCCAGGTGACAGACCTGTTAATCCCAGAAAGTCTGAAATCTTAACTACTGTGAAGGTGACCGTACTCAAGGTAGCAGTTAAGTCTATCGGGCTCATTTTTGAGTTGCCCAAGTAAGCATGCCTTGGTGACACATCCCATTATTTAAAAAAAAAAAAAAAAGCGCCCTTTCAGAATTTGAAGATAGATATGTGAGTGAAAAATTTTAAGTACATTCCAGGAAAACTCACCAATGATTTCTCATGATAAAGACTAGGGGCCAGTCTCTGCAAATAGCAGAGACACCTTCTTTACTACTCCTCACTTGCCCAAATTAAATCTGATCACAAAAAGCAAAAGAAATATTGAAGAACTTGTTCACATTCTTTTTATTAAAAAAGGCTCCCTGTGATTTTATAATTTTCTTAGCTGCCATAGCATATGCTGTTTGTGTTCCTAGTGTGTTTCTAATCTTAACTTTCTAGTTTAGAAAGCAAGTTGGTGCTTGGAATGCAGTTTTGTTAAACAGGTAACCTTTAAATGGAGTCAGCTTGTCTCTCCTCCAAATAGTAAGGGTTTGTGCATATGACCTCTTCTTGCTGCTAAAAGCAACTGTGGTCAGAAGTGAAATCCCTGGGATATTTAGAGGAGGACAAATCTGCATTACCTAGCCTTTGGCTTCCTTCCTGTGCTTTCCAAGCCTTTTCCAGAAACAAAGGGAAGTAAATCATGCTTCCGTGGTAACCATCCATGTTAGTAATGGGGTCAAGCAGTTATTTTCATATTCCTGAGTGTTCTCACAAAGTTAATGTGATCTCCCTGCTTTATCAAAAGATGACAGTCAGGAATATGCCCTGTTCCTGTGGAAACAAGACTAGTTGAGCTAAACCATCCCTTCCTCTCAATATGACTGAATGAAAAAGATTGTGTCTCTGTCTACTTGACCAGAATCTTGGGAACATACATACCCATATCCAAAAGGCCTTTAAAGGGGAAAGAGGTGGTACAAAAATGGAAAGGAGGAACAAGTTGAAGCCTTAACTAGGAGCAGGGCCTCTTCAAATAGGATCAGTCTCTCTAAGCTTGGAATTTGGATTCTTTCCCTCTCAGTGGATTCAGAAAAGAAAGTTGGTGGGTGGGCATAATTGTTACTCCTATTTCTGTAAACAGAGGGTCCCTTCTGCTTTTGTTGTGCTTCTGAAAACACTGTTCTAGAAGGAGTCAGAAGCACATTAGTAGCTCCTTCTCAAACCATTTATACTTCATGAGTCAGAGCAGTTTTGCCTAATCACTTTAGAAAAGACTCCTCCTCTATCCAGCTTGTTTTCTTTCCACTGTTTGGTCTGTCTGTTAAGCCCCACCATGAGTGCCTTAATTCCTGTGGTCAGCCAGAAGAGTCCTTTTCAGAATAGAGTGTTTATTTGCTAATAATCTCTTTCCTCTCCTTGAGGGACACCTCACTTCCTACTCAACAGCATAGTTGCATAGCACATGCTGTGTAGGCTGCCATGGCTAGAAATTGTATGCCTCTGAGACATGTGGGGCATCCGGGTTAACAGCTACCCAGTTTGTGTCAGATCCTTTCAGCGTCACTATTTGTCACTTGACAGTGCTAGAAATAAGCAAGCACGGTGGATGTGAAGTTATCATGACAATAGCAAAATCTCTGGTCTGGATGACATGCCTGGATGCTCCTTTCAATATTAAATTATTGGCTTCTGAAATTTTTGAAATAGAGTATATATGTTCCACTTTGGTTTTGAAGGCAAATTTTGGTTCTCAGAAGCATTTACTAATATGGGAACTAGATGACTCTTTAAAGAACCCAGGTTTTTACTTGGGCATTCCAGAATAAATTTGCAATTTAAATATATGTGGCTGTAGACAGTGTTAATAACAGATAAGACATACATGTAACTGAGTTTCTAGTTAAACATGTTTCTAATTTCTTCTTACCCCCCCCCCCGCCTTTTTTCTTTCTGGAAAAAAAAAATCATTCTTGCTGCTGTGGTCTGTGCACTGGCTGAATCCTCCTGGCATCCTTCTTTGTGGCTGGGTATGTGGCTTTCTCTCTAAAGGACGGTCAGTCCCGAACAGTGAGGCAGTTCCAGTTCACCGACTGGCCAGAGCAAGGAGTGCCAAAGTCTGGAGAAGGATTTATTGACTTCATTGGCCAAGTCCATAAAACAAAAGAGCAGTTTGGCCAAGATGGGCCCATTTCAGTCCATTGCAGGTGAGTGAAGAATCAAGAATGATGAGTTTCCATTTGTGATTAATGTCCTAATAACTTTGAAAATGTGCATTGTTGTCTATTCATTGTCAGTACAGGCTTATTGGAGTGAATCTGCATAATTAATATTTTATTCTCAGAAATATATTGTAAAATCTTAAGCAAGGACTCATTTCTCTTTCTTTCCATAAGATGAAAATAACCAGAGGTAAAATTTTTATCCCCAAATTTTACCTCTTGTAACAAAGACAAAACTGTTTTTCCTTGCCTAGTTTACCTTTTTTTTTTTTAAGATTTTATTTATTTATTTGAGCGAGATCAAGAGAGAGAGAGAGAAAGCATGAGCAGGGGGAGAGGTGGATGGAGAGGGAGAAGCAGACTCCTCCCTGAGCAGGGAGCCAGATATGGGACTCAATCTCAGGACCCTGGGATCATGACCTGAGCCGAAGGCAAATGCTTAACCGACTGAGACGCCCAGGCATCCCTCTTTCCTAGTTTACCTTAACAGGAATTGTTGGTACATCTGCTAGTGAAAATTTATTCAGTTAATCATCTCTTACTTGTTTTACTTCCATGGCATTACAATGATAACTGTCTTTCTGTATCTACCTCCTGTGGTTGTCTTTTTAGGAAAACCATAAATAGTTATCCAGCCTTAATGACAATACTAATTCTTGCCAGTCAGTAAGTGATTAGAATGGTATCTCGGTTAAAATTGCAATTTGCCTGAAAATTGTTGCTATATCAGAAAATGAAGCACCTTCAAGTTAATTACTTTCAATAGTTTCCACAGCATTTTATAATTCAAGTCATTGAAGTTAATAGAAATAGCAAATAAAAGGTTCAGAAAGGACACTCACCATAAATCTAGTGCTTTGGGAAGTTGTTATGCAGAAACCTTCCAGCAAAAGGAATTTTTTATTCCTTTTGTAAATAATTTTATTTACACTAATATATTTTCAGATTCTAGCAATTTGAAGTCTCAGTTTCTAATCTCTTTGTGGCCAAAATCTTGAGAGTTTAAAATTTTACTTTGCTTCAGAAAAAAAAAAAAAAGGAAGGAAAGAAGGGAGGAAAGAAAAAGAAAAAGAGAAAGACAGAAAGATTCCAAAATACGATTCTTAGTGAAAGGGGAGACAAGCTCTCAAAATAGGAAAAATATTCAACTCGGGCTTTAAAATAGCTGAATTCTAGCCTCACTTCTGTCATCATGTAGCTCTAAGACAGAATCTTAGAATCTCTCTAAGATCCTTTTGAGCGCATGATGTTCCCCAGGGATGATATATTCTGTGAGTAGCAGACCTTCTTTATTCACATTTGCTTTGTGTTGAGTTTGGTTACTCTAGACAACCAAAGATCATGTAGGGAACAACATATGGACTCAAATATTCAGACAAAGTAGATGGTATAGACTGGACTGAAATTACCTGGATATTCCCCTTCACTTTCGACATAATTTGCCCAAATGCTAATTCAAACTTTTCTAGCATAAGCTATAAAAAAGAATATATTTAATATATCCATTTAACTTTAGACATTTCCCCTAAGTTTATAAATGTGTGTTACTTCCCATTGCTTTTGCTGTCACAGAATGATTTAAATACTCCTTTAGTATATGGATTTTAACTATGTCCTATTATCTCATGCACACACATATATACACATGACTTCTAGATAGTTTCTCTTATCTGAGAATATCCTTAAAATACTAACTTTATTTATAACTTATTAAACTAGCATTGTAAAGTCAACAAATTCAGAAGTGATAAGGCCAGTGTCTGTTATTTTCTTGAAAACATCTAGTAGAAAGCCAGAAACCCTGTATTTCAATACATTTGAACAATCAAATCAAGGTTAAATATAGAGTTGGGAATACCTGGGCCATTCAGAAAAAAAAAAAAAGAAAAGAAAAAATCATAAATCACAGCTTCTCAGGAGTAAGAGAGACTTTCAAGGTTGAAAGGGACCTTCAAGGTCATCTACTCCATCTTAACAGAGAACCTTCACTGCCCCTGGATATCCTCAGGCACTTTATAAAGACTGCCCATGGATTTTAAAGCCTCACTTAACAATTCTGTTTGGGCTCTTTAGAAAACCCAATTTGTAAAGGGACACACTATTTATATATGCCTGTCAGCTACTTCCCTAAGTAAATAAATCCATCCATTTTCTACAACCTGTACCCAAGCGTTACACATGCCATTTAATTAGGATCCAAAAATGTAGGGATTTTTCAGATTATTCACTCTTCTCCTCATTACCTAAACCTCCAGATGCTTTCCGACTTTTTAAGAGCACAAAAGCTATGAATTAATTTTCTCCTCTTGCTGCAGTGAACATTCTGGAATTATCTTAAAACAATAAAGAAAACAAACTCAAAACCTTGCTAATGTGGTGGAAAGAATCCTGGTGTTTTAGCTGCTGAACATCTAAAAGTAGTAGATAAGCTCAGTGAGGCTCATCCATTTTTTTTTTAAAGGTTAGAGACCCTTTTGAGAATCTGTTAAAAGTTTTCAGTTTCAGGAGAGAGAACAAATGTATATACATTTACACAGTTTGTAAATATAAAATATTCACCGACCCTTCTAATGACTGAATAAGGATCCCATATCAAAAAACCTGTCACAGAATCTGTTTTCTCATATCAAAACTGATGTCTCAATCTGAATAGTCTATACCCTTTCTAAGTGATGAATCATCCTGCATAGACTGTGACCACGAGAAGTAAATAATACACTAGAAAACTTGAAGAGGTCGAGTTTATCTCACCTTATCTGGTATTCCATACTTTAAAAATACTAAGAAGGCAAGGTCTACAATTGCAGGATCTCCATGAAGAGTATTAACCTATACTTTATTTATCCTTCTCTGAATCTATTTATTTTGCAATATTTATGTTTTCTACATCTTTCCAAAATGGAGTAGAATCCCAGTTGAAAAGGCATTCTACTGTATTGGACTTAATCTTAATTATTCCACATTCATGCTCACATTTTACCATGACACATTATCCCAAGAGTAGTCATTTCGTGAACCCAATACCACATTTTCCTGAACATTGCTGTTGAAGAACCTGGTGTAATATGGAAGCGGGTGCATATATGTTTACTTCCAAGCGAATGTGGTCAAGACTCTGAATGTCACATCCTGTAACGCTGTCTTTGTTATTATGGCAGTGCGGGCGTTGGAAGAACTGGAGTCTTCATAACGTTAAGCATTGTTTTGGAAAGAATGAGATATGAAGGAGTTGTAGATATCTTCCAGACTGTCAAAATGTTAAGAACACAACGACCAGCCATGGTACAGACAGAGGTGAGAAAAATCTCTATGAATTTATCATGTCTCAAGAGCCAAATATAGATTTTACTAAACCAGAACCTCTTAGAGCCCAGAGACTCTCAACACCAGAGCAAAATACAGGAAACTACTATAGGAAAACCATCAAATTGTTCAATATTTTGAACCTCCTTTTTTCCCCTCTGTATATGGGAGTGACAATTTCAAAGTCTTACAGTTGTTTTGGAAGTTATGTTAGATTATATATTAGGTTGAACCATGATAAATTATCGCTATTTGACCACTTTATAAAGCACATTGCCTGGTACATAACAGACCCTCAGCCCATTTTACTTCTCTATTCTCCTATGGTCATTTTAAATATTTGGATCCTGGATAAGCCCTAGAGAAATTAATACCCCATTTTTTACTCCAATAACTGATCATGAAATTCTCATCTTTTGTGATTTAGACAGTCTGGCCTATTGACTGTTCATTTCTAAGGATAAGATGAGTGAGTGTTTTTGTTCCTCAAAAGGCCAGCAAATATATTCTATATGTATTCCTAAATTCATTGCCCACGATATCTTCCAAACTGTGATTTCAAAATAGCACAAGTATTTGGCTTGCAATACTCAAAGCCTGATGTCGGCCTGACAAACTTAATGGGTGTTGGGGGTGGAAGAGAGAAATTGGACATTTAAAAACCCTTAACACTTAGCCAAGCAGCTTACTGTGACAACATAGGAAAGCAAACTCATTTATTTTGCATTACCATTTTTATTGTAAAAAATGCACATTTAAGCAAAATAGAAACTATCTACTTTCAGCCCCATTGGCTACTGAAGATAAGTTTCTTTTATGGCAAAAACCCTATTTTTTTCTATCTCTCCAACAATGCCCCAACTTATTCCAATATGACAGTGTTCTTCCCTATCTGAAAAAGGACATGTTTCAAGTTATTTTTTTTAATGTGGGCCTTTCTATAACAGATAACTAGCAATCACACTGAATTAGGCCAAACGACACGGCTATTTTTTTATATAGACAGCCAGTCTTGGGATGCCATTTCCAGAGGATGAAAAACTTGAAAGTCCAGAACCCTTTGTAAGTGGCTTTGTGTACCTACTGTTCCTCACACTTAGTTGAATAACAACATCAGAAATGGTGGTAGGTAATTCTGATTGCACGTAGTAAGGTCTACTATCTGATAAGATCCTTTTTATTCAAATTCTTTTGGCAAGAGCCCAGAAGATAAATGAATCCAGGCTTTCCTCAGGACAGGGTGTGTCTGGATCAGGCTCTCCTTAATATGCAAACTGAGAATAAGTTATCACAAATACATAGTTGTAAAAGACAACAGTGATATATTCCCATGTTCAGTGGTGGTAATTGTTTGGTACTACCTGGAGAACAACTCACACTTGCCTGGAAGATAGTGTTCACTCTAGCTGTTACTACTTTGGAATTAGGAGACGATTTTAGTCAAATCGATTGGTGAAGTTAACAAACACCCCGCATGGCTGATCGTTCTTTGCTCACTGAAATGGACTGGTCATTGGATTGACTTAATTGATGAGAGTAGTGATTTTGCCCCCATCCAGATGTAACGTCTGTTTTTGAATATTGATTTTCATCTTTCTATTAAAATGGACTCATGGCCCCTTCTCCTCTTTCTTCCCACGCTTGGTCTCCTGCAGGACCAGTACCAGTTCTGCTACCGAGCCGCACTGGAGTACTTGGGCAGCTTTGATCACTATGCAACGTAGAAACCCCTAACCCACTTTGGGTTCTTACTGCAGGCCCTTCAGTATCCACGGAGTCTCTTCTGAGCCATACAGGGCACTTGAGAAGTCCTTCTTAACTTCTAGCTAACTACCACTTAGTGGGACTATTACACACAAAACAAAATAAAAACAAACTCTTCTGGGTGGACCAAGAATTCAGTTTAATAATCTAACCTGAAAAAATAATAAAGAGAATCCTGACTGGTGAGGCATCTGAAGGATTTTTACAGATACCTCAAGGATTCAAAATAAAGGGAAGAAGAAATCACAGCAAAGAACCACCATCTTGTTCAGAATTGCTTGTTAGGTGTGAGGAGAAATTGCCAGAGTCCTGCAGTTCAGTGCAAGATGTTTGCTGGCGTGGCTTCTTGTGACAAATGGACTCTGCTGCGACATCGCCCCTTCCCACCATACTGCTCATAATAACATTTTAGGGGGGGGTCGGGGGGAAATGTTTAAAAAGAAAGTCTTTGATTTAGTTTTTTAGTATTGTAAAGATACTGCTGACCTGTGCTTCATTTTTAACTGTGTAAACTTCTTTTTAACAAATGTATCATTCGATAAAGTGAATTTTAAAAAAGTTACATAACTCTTCATTTTTTATTTCCAAATTGTAGGTTTTTTTAAGCTGTAGAACTGTTATCTGTAATATCTTGCTGTAGAAATATCAAATAATTTGAAAATTTGCACATTTTTGTGCAATATTCTTAATCTACAGTATCCGTCTTGTCAGATATTACTTTCACACTTCTGTTCAGTTTTGGTTGGTGAGAAAGTACCCATTCTCTTCATATAGTCAAAGAGAACTTTTTTGTTTTGTTTTGTTTTGTTTTTGGAATCAACAGGGAGGCGCAAAGTATAAAGTTGCTGCTAACATATATACATATATATCCATATTTTACAGGGGTGTCTATGTATATATAGACAGTGTGTCCACACAAAAAGATAGATATAGCTATCATTCAGTTCTTCCATGAATTAGTTTTGGGGTTTTTTAGTTGTTTTTTGTTGTTTTTAGGTAGAGAACCTATTATAAACATCTTTTACAATTTATTATTAATTTTATGACATATGGGTATTTCTTAATATCATAAAATTTTAATTTTAAGGGAAATGAGGAATGCACATCAGTGATTGTCAGGCCTCACCCCCTAATTTCCTATCCAGTCTCCTCCCGCCCACCTACTCATATTCACAAATATCCTTTTGTTAGCCAGGCTTCCAACAAAGTTCAATATTTCTAACACTCTAGTGCAATAAAAAAAATTACTAAATATCTAAGAGGTGTGCATGTGGGAAAGGTCAGTGCATATCCCTTTAGGAGGGGAGAATGTTGTAATATATCAGCTATCAAGTTGTTTAAAAAAAACAATGTATTCAATCGTATATTGTCTATAGTATGTGCTATGAAATTTGCATTTACGATATGTAACAGGGGCAAAGCCAAACTCATGTTACTCTGTTCAGTCAGAAACATTTTGAGGCATACAGCACAACTGGGAAGTGCTGTACTTTGTTTTCTTTTGGTTTTAGTTATGCATTTAGAGTGCCTTATAATTGATGCCTATTTTAATAGCATTTCTTTTTAGCTTTTGGTTCATATTTTCATTAGTTGTTCTTATATGTTACTCTTCCAATTAAAGCATTATCTGTTTACCACATGTACAAAAACTCTTTGAATAATATGCATTCCTAGTTTTCAACTAAGTCGGGGATGTTAGTGATTGTACCAGCCCAAAGCACTTGGATAATCAGGGCCCTTCCTTTCATGGTTGCCGACATCAAGAAAAGCTACTTGTTTTATTTAGAATCCCTGCCAAATCTGTTCTGAAACATTCAGTAACTGCACCAAACTTGTTTTAGTGACAAATATCATTGTCAACTTTGGAATATATTTACTAATCCATTAGGATTTTTCTAAAAGGGGAAATTAAACAATTATCTATTTTCCAACATAATCCCAAATTTTCCAACATAATTGCTATAGGAAGCCATGGAAAATGGCATGAGTTTGCCATATCTTATATGATTTTAAAGAACCCTCAAAATATCCAAGGAACTCTTAAAGAGTTTTGGTATAGATATAACATTTTGGTTTAATTTTAGCTTCTTTGATGTTCAGCATAAAAGGATTTTGTTTTCCACATTTTACCATCACTAGCAGAATGAAATCCAAGAGACCAAACACTTGCAAGCATCATATTTGAGCACTTTTGTAAAAAAAAAAAAAAAAAAAAAAAAAAAAAAAAATTAAGAAAAAAAAGAAAAAAGAAATAATGTTAAAAAAAAAAAAGTATCTAGAAGGCTACCTCAGAATGAGACTCTCTAACCTACATCAGAACCAGAGAAGAATGTGCACTATGTGGATCTGTTATTATCTTTTAGTTTGTATCTTTTGGAGATTTATCCAAGTGCCAGATTACTGAGTGCTGTGATTTTCATTTAGTGAAACAAAGGGGGTCAGACAGACTTGCAGACATGCCACGTTAGACATGTAGAATCTGATGGTGTATATTACACACCAGAATGACTGACCAATGAGCAGTTTCTCTCCCTGAAATAAAAACTGCCCATTTGGCAAAGGGAAAGAGGAGAATAATCACAAGAAGAAAATTAATGGGATGCATACCATACAAACGAGGCAGAGACTATTCAGAGATCTTATTGTTTAGGCGCTGTTCCGAGAACTAACTCCCTTCCTGTCATTGATGTGCATTCCACTCTGTGATTTTCTGTACAACCATTCTAGTTTGATTTTCCCAGGTAAACATCTTTATCTACCATTACCATAAACTTTCAAGTTTCTAATTATTTTCATCATCATAACCAGTACGGTGCTATTATTTACCTATGTACGTGTAGTTATGTATAATTTTGTAATTAGTTACAATGGTAAAAAAAAATCAAAATATATAAAAAGTGATTTGTACAGAACTTTATTTTAGCTCTTTTTTAAAAATGATTTGCATGGTTAGACAACGGCAAGGACAGCCAGGGGAGGGAAGGGCCTCTAGGGAACTTTGCACTTTCTATACCTTTGTACTATGCACTGCCCTATTGATTCTACACCCAATAATGTTATTACTTGAACCCATCTGTAAGAAACTGCTTCAGAAATTCATTTGTGTGTATGTAAATAACACAACATAGACACAGGAAGAGAAAAAATTCTTCAGTAACAGAGATTTTTTTCTTTCCTGTTTATTTTTGGGTTTGCTTTGTTTTAGTCCCTCCTTTTTATTTTTAATTCCCTTTTATTTTTTTCTTTTTGGGTTTTGGTTTCCTTTGGGTTTATGGGTGCCCTGATACTCCAGCAGAGATCAGAAGGCTACAGATCCATTCTATCCATCTGCTATGTGGCTTTGCCATTCAAGCTTGGAGTGTCTTTACAAAGATAATAACAGTTGTGTTCTTTGCTCTCGTTTTGGATGCATAGACTGAAAAATTTAAAAAAATAACTTGTAAAATGGCTTGTTAAAAAAATACAATTACCTCTAATTAGTAGTACGCGTAAATGTTTTACAGAATGAAAGGCGTGCTTTTTATTTTCTTACTTCGTTACATTGGTGGCGAAAGAAGTCTGTATGAAAATCAGTTCTTTGCTGACACAAGTTCCATTTGTTACAAATGAATTCTAATAAAAATGTCAGTGTTATGCAGCCCTGGCCTTTGCTTTTGTCCACTCAAGCACTTTGGTTTTGAACTGACTATATATGTTCCCTTTTCTCTCTGGTTATCTGGTTAGTTCCTTTGTACTAATAGTAATTAAACTTACCAAGAGGCTGACATTTATGATTGCCTGCCTTGAGGTGAGCACTTTTCACTGGTAAGCAAAGTAAGGTTTAGAAAACTAGTTTGCCCAATTCACACAGGAAAAAGGAGGCCTTGGTATCATTTGAACTAGAGTTCATGGGCAATTTCTAACTCTATAGAAAATGATTAAATATACTTTGTAAATTTGAGTGGATTTCAGCCTATAAGTATTGAAAAACAGCTATCTCTCATGCACATAAAAATAGCTCCATAATGTTAACTCTTAAGCTTTTTGGAAACTAAGAAAATACTTGGCTTAAGTTGTTTATTCAGTTAGTCGATATTAAGGGTCAGAACTACTCTAGGCTTTGGGAATGCAGCTATTGGTACATGAGATGCTGCTGCTCACAAGGAGACTACAGTCTAGGGAGAGAGACTGGAATTAAAGAAATAATAAAATTGTACTCGGAAAAGTGCTATGAAGGAAAGTAAAGGATTCATGAAGTTAGGACTTTGAATTGTGAGGGAAGGAAGTCTGAGTCAATTTGGCTTACAATGAAAGGAAAGTGTTTATTGGCTCACATACTAAAAGATTAGGAGTGGACTCATACTTGAAAAGTAGGAATACATTCCTAATTATTAAGCACAGTGACGTTTGGGGCTCAGGTGATATCTCCCAGCCTGATTTGACTTTCTTAGTGTCAGTTTTAAGCAAACTTTGTGGTCCCTGGAAGCTTTACCACAAGGAAAACACGTAGAAGAATTTACTTTCCCAACAGCACAAATGAAGTTTTTGAATGGAATGGAGGCTTTTTGACTCTTAGTGATACGACTTGGGTTAAGTGATCATTCTAGGATCACAGTTATGGATAGGAAATCATAGGAGGGTTGTCAAAACAAGGAGGGTTTAAGGTGGCTGCCACCTTGCCAAATACAAATGAATATGATGGGAACAATGACTGCAAGTCAACCTGTTGAGTTAAGGTAAGGCAAAGCACAGGTATGTTTGGTAGTATTAAAACTACTTGTTGCCATGGAAATAGGGAATGAAACAATTTATTATCCATACATTATTTTGGAAATCCTTGAATAGACAACTAGACTATTTTTTCTCCCTCATTTTTCCTCCACCTAATTGACCTTTAATTTGCAGATTTGATCAGCCTATTATTTGATTGTGTAAGCACACAATCCTTAACCAGACAACAGGACAAAAAGTTCAAGGCACATCATGTTTGTAATTTTAATCACTGTGATGCCTTATTTTAATCAGATGTCTGATTTGCCAAAGATGACAAAACGGCTAATTTTACACATAAACACACATGCAGATATTACTAGTTAATAGTAACTTACTAAAAAAATACATGGAGACAAATGAAAATGAAAACACAATGATCCAAAATCTTTGGGATGCAGCAAAAGTGGTTCTAAGAGGGAAGTTTATAGCAATACAGGCCTACCTCAAGAAGTGAGAAAAATCTCAAACAACCTAAACTTATACCCAAAGGACCTAGAAAAAGAAGAACAAACAAAGCCCAAAGGCAGTGGAAGGACGGAAATAAAGATAGGAGCAGAAATAAAGACAGAGAAAGAGAGAGAGAAACAGATCAATGGAACCAGGAGCTTGTTCTTCAAAAAATAAACAAAATTGATAAACATTTAGCCAGACTCATCAATAAAAAAAGAGAGAGGACTCAAATAAAATCAGAAATGAGGGAGGAGAAATAACAATACCACAGAAATACAGAGGATTATAAGAGAATATTATGAAAAACTGTATGATAAATTGGACAAGCTAGAAGAAATGAATAAATTCCTAAAAAGCATATAGCCTACCAAAACTGAATCAGGAAGAAATAAAAAATCTGAACAGAAGAGTTACTAGCAATGAAATTGAATCAATAATAATAAACAAACAAAAATCCTAACAAAAGTCCAGGACCAGATGGCTTCACAGGTAAATTCTACCAAACATTTAAAGACTTAATACCTACTCTCCTCAAACTATTCCAAAAGATAAAAGAATAAGGAAAACTTCCAAGATTCTATGAGGCCAGCATTATCCTGATGCCAAAACCAGGCAAGTACACTACAAACAACAACAATAACAACGATAACAACAAAACTATAGGCAAATATCTCTGATGAACATTGATGCAAAAATCCTCAACAAGATACTGGCAAACCGAATTCATACACCATATTGAATGGGATTTATTCCACAGATGCAAGGATGCTTCAATATTTGCAAATTAATTACTGTGATACATTACCTTAAGAGAAAGGATGAAAAACATATCATTATCTCAGAGATGGAGAAAAAAGCATTCGACAAAGTACAATATTCATTTATGATAAAAAAGTTCTACAAAGTAGATTTAGAGGGAACATACCTTGAAATAACAAATGCTATACATGAAAAACCCACAGCTAATATCATACTCAGTAATGAAAAACTGAAAGCTTTTCCTTAAGATCAAGAACAAGACCAAGATGTCCACTCTCACCACTTTGACTTAACATAGTACTGGAAGTCCTAAATGCAGCAATCAGACAAGAAAAAGAAATAAAATGCATCTGTATTGGCAAGGAAGAAGTAAACCTGTTAACTACCTGTAGGTGACATGATACTATGTATACAAAACCCCAAAAACTCCCCAAAACACTAGAACTGATCAATGATTGGTAAAGTTGCAATATACAAAATTAATATACAGAAAGCTGTTGCATTTCTATACACTAATAACCATATAGTATAAAGAGAAATTAAGAAAACAACCCCATTTACAATTACACCAAAAAGAATAAAATACCTAGACATATAATTAACCAAAGAACTGAAAGACCTATACTCTGAAAACTATAAAACACTGTGAAATTGAAGATGACACAAACAAATGTAAAAATATTACATGCTCATGGATTGGAAGAACCAATATTGTTAATATGTCCATACCACCCAAAGCAATTTCAAATTCAATGAATATACAATGAGGAAAAGACAATATCTTTAATAAATGGTTCTGGGAAAATTGGACAGCTACATGCAAAAGAATGAAACTGGGCCAGTTTCTTATACCATACACAAAAATAAACTCAAAATGGATTAAAAACCTCAATGTGAGACCTGAAACCATAAAACTTTTAGAAGAACACATAGGCAATAATTTCTTTGATATTAGCTATAGAAACATTTTCTATATGTATCTCCTCAGGCAAGGGAAACAAAAGCAAAAGTAACTACTGAAACTTAACTACCAAACTACTTTTGGTGTAAGTAAGTAACTACTTACACCAAAATAAGAAACTTTTGCCCAGTAAAGAAAACCACTGACAAAACAAAAAGGCCACCTATTGAATGGGAGAAGATATTTGCAAGTGATATATCTGATAAAAGTGTAATATCCAAAATATATAAAGAACTTCTACAACTCAATGCCAAAAAAGCAAATAATCTGATTAAAAATGGGCAGAGGATCAGAAAGGATGAATACCCAACTTTTCATCAACATGGGTGGGACTGGAGGAGATTATGCTAAGTGAAATAAGTCAAGCAGAGAAAGTCAATTATCATATAGTTTCACTTATTTGTGGAACATAGGAATAGCACGGAGGACATTAGGAGAAGGAAGGGAAAAATGAAGGGGGAGAATCAGAGGGGGAAATGAACCATGAGAGACTATGAACTCTGAGAAACAAACTGAGGGTTTTAGAGGGGACAGGGGTGGGGGGATGGGTGAGCCCAGTGATGGGTATTAAGGAGGGCATGTATTGCATGGAGCACTGGGTGTTATACGCAAACAATGAATCATGGAACACTACATCAAGAACTAATGATGTACTGAATGGTGATTAACATAATAAAAACAAACAAACACAAAAAATAAAATAAAAAAATAAAAATGGACAGAGGACCCGAATAGACATTTTCCTTTTTTTAAAGACATTTTCCCAAAGAAAATGTACAGATGGTCAACAGACCATATGAAAACATGCTCAACATCACTAATCATCAGGGAAATGCAAATTGAAACCACAATGAGATATCACCTTACACCTGTCAGAATAACCAGAATCAAAAACACAAGAAATAACAAGTATTGGTGAGGATGTGAAGAAAAAGGAACCCTTGTGCACTGTCAGTGGGAATGCAAACAGGTACAACCACTGTGGAAAACAGTATGGAGTTTCCTCAAAAAATTAAAAATAGAAATACCAAATGATCCAGTAATTCCACTACTGGGTATTTACCCAAAGAAAACCAAAACCCTAATTCAAAAAACTATATGCAGCACTATGTTTATTTCAACATGATTTACAGTTTACAATATTGGTTATTTACAATAGCCAAGATACAGAGGCAATCCAATCCAATCCAATCCATCCATTGATAGATGAATGGATAAAGATGAGGTGTGTGTGTGTGTGTGTGTGTGTTTGTGATGGAATACTACCCAGCCATAGAAAAGAATGAGATCTTGCCATTTGCAACAACATGGATGGGCCTAGAAGGTATAATGCTAAGTGAGATAAGTCAATCAAAAACAAATATCATATTATTTCATTCATATGTGGCATTTAAGAAAAAAATGAACAAATACAAAAACACCAAAACACAGACCCTTAAATACAGAAAAGAAACTGGTGGTTGCCAGAGGGGAGGTAGATAAAGAGAATGGGTGATACAGTTAAAGTGGATTTTGAGCTACAAAGCTCCAGTTACAAAGTAAATAAGTCATGGAGATGAAAAGTACAGTTTAGGAAATATAGTCAATGTGACTGTAATAATATGTTTTGGTGACAAATGGTGACTACACTTATTGTGATGTGCACTGAGTAATGTATAGAATTGTTGAATCATTATGTTATACACTTGAAACTAATATAACACTGTATGTTGAT